TTCAAGCAGGAGTTGTGATTTTTTAGTAAATGTTTTCATGGGGCAACTAAAGGAAATTGTGCTACTTGGGTTGTAATACTACAGAAGAGTAGGGGCCAACCTTTTTTGGCAAACTGGCCACTTGCCCCAAACGCCCGCTTAATTTCCCTGCCCAATCTGCTGCTCCACTTTCTGCTTCCTGCCTGCTCTGCTGCTCTGCTTTCTGTTTCCTGCCTGTGCTCCCTGCTCAATATCCTGCTCTGCTTTTTGCTTCCTACCCAATCTGCCACTGTGCTGCTTGTCCCACCTCACCCAGTCTGCTGAGCATCATGCACACAGGCTGCCCGTGCCACTTGTGGCATGCATGCTGCAGGTTGGCCACCCGTTACAGACTACAAAAATGTGCGTGTGCTGACTTCAGTGAGGCTCTTCTATGGGCACAGGGGGTCCTTCCAGACAAAGCCATTGCAGTATCAGGACTATAGTTTGCTGTTACCTGTGGTACTGAGAACTTCTATTCAGGGCACTAATCCCCTATGCTTTAAACAGACAAAAGTTCCTCACTGAGATTAGTTGATGCTTTATAAAGACAAAAGGCTTCACCCCCATTAGCGGAAAGTTGTGTCTGAAGAAAAGCAAGCAAAGCTCAAGTCTGAGTTATCAGCTATTTCTTTTCTAAGAGCCACTCATTCCACAAAGGAAATGTTTTAATTACATCTTGGTTTTTCATGCCATTCTCAGAACAGAGAATATATTGCATTATTCTGTAGTAATGGGAAATACTTGCTCATACCTCTGACGCCTTTACAGTCTTTTCCCTTTTACTTAGAAAATAACAATGCAGCGTACAAATGTCTCTCTGGGGGCTAAATACACTTTGCAACTGCAGCATCGCACCCCGTAGCGCTGAGGAGTTTGCTGAGTAAAACAGGCTATTTAACGCAAATATGAATTGTGAGAGTAGATTTTTTTTCCAAAGGACATTCAGGAATATCATTTTGCTCTCAATCTCTTCACTATATTCCCTTAAATTAGCCATATTTGATACTTTCTTCCCCTGTAAGACCATCATAGGACTATTTACAAAATAAAGATCTATCTATAGCAATTAATCAATATTTTAAAGCAGTTTTAAGTAACTATCACTTGGCCGCTGTGAGGCTGTGAATGGTCTCCACTCCCACTGATGTCCTTAAAGTCCTGAGTTGTTTCTGCTGCTGTTCAAATTAAACTGTTCACGTTACTGTGGTTAAAATCAACTGTGCACAGAATAAAGTATCACAAATATTTTTAACAAGTCCAGAAGAAGAATTCTTCGAAGAGCATATTTTATACATCATGAACTTTACTTTTTTTAGAATAGCTAAATAACATGGGATCTGAATTTTCCCCTCACGATTACTGTGTATATGATCAGAAGCAAAAAATAAAATAGAAAAATCGGTCTGAAAAATTTCTTCCCATCTCTAAATGTATTTTGAAATAGGTTTAAAGATTTACTTTTGTAGCAGAGGTTGGCAGCAAGCTCTCTTTTCTGGTACAATATGGAGCATAAGTGAAAAACACCCTCTTGATCTTGGCGGCAGGGGTGGGATGAGTGGTGCAAAAGGAACTATACCTTTCCACTTGTTAACTGCTATACAGTTATTGCACCTACTCACTGCACTCTAACCTCTTTACAGTTATCTTATGTGCATATATCTTAACATTTAGCAAGTTACTTCAGTTAGATCAATCCTTATGCATCTTCCCCCAAGACTAAATCATCCTATCTAACCACATTGAGTCATGGTAGCATTTATTAAGATTAAAAAATGAAAGCCGAACAGGTCAGAAGATGAGAAATTTAGCCTACTAATTTTAAAGGCTGTTGTCTTTGTTGAAGCATGTTTTAGGAGAGTCTTGCAAGCCTGAAGCAAATTATTTTTAAACCATTTCATTTTATCATAGTCTCAGGAGAGTATAGTGCACTCTCTTCCATCCCAGGCTATTTGGAAATGAATGCTTATTAGAGCTTTTTTTCCAAAAAAATAAAAATGCCAGCCTGATGTAGTTTGCAGTGGGTTTTACTTAGTCACTCTGCTGCGATGTACAGTTTAGCAGGTGTGTGGGGGAGCAGGGTTTGAGTTTAATGCTGGATTAAGTACTACAGCCAATTGAGATTGGCATACATGGGTTTTTTTCTGACAGAATTGCAGGCTTGCCAGTGTTTGTAAGAGGCATTCCCCTGGGTTTTTTTGTGGAATTATAAAATGATCTTAAGACCTGGGGGCGTTTCTGGGTTTTTGTTTTGTTTAGTTTAGTTTAGTTTTTCTTTCATGTCTTATTTCTTGGCCTTACCTAGATACAAAGTGCAGTGCCTTATGCATATATGAAGCTATCTTGTGCTGTACACACTGTCAATAGCACACTTCCCTTCCTTTTATTGGTGCTGGATCTATTCTATTGGTGTTGGACCTGAAGTTGTTGCTTCAGACCTTTCAGTCCTTACTGGTCTCGCTTAGATGAAGATTGGGCTTTGGTTAGGATCAGTCTTGCCTGTGATCTGAGCATGTAGGGTGTAGGCTGGCTTCCACATTGGCAAGAAGTGCAGTTCGAAGAGGTTATTGCTGAAAGGACAGAGAGATGCCTAGTCATCAAGAATATGCTAGAGTGGTATTTTAAGAGGGATTGAAACTGGTGGTCCTTACTAAGGCTGTAGTTAGAGGTCTGTCCCTCACAAACTTGTACCCAAAGGAACAGCTGAGCCTCCTGGAAGGGCAGTATGCACATAGATAGGGGCCCTTCATGGGAGTAGGTCTGGACATGGTGAAGCTGCATGTTGAAAATAATTGTTTCTCAAGCCAGAGTTGAGCTAGCAAGGTAAAATGGGCAGGATTTTCAATAATGTTTCTGTATGCCACTACGTAGATCCTTGAGACTTGCTGTAGGAACATGCAAATTGTGAGTGGGGTTAGTGTACATCTGGACACCCATTTGCTAGAGAAGTCTAAGAGCTTCTGAAAGGGGTTAGTTTAGAACCACTCTCATTTTATGGCTATAAAACTTAAGATGGTATGATAGGTCTGAAAGAGATGCTCAGACCTCCAAATCATCTCTCAATTTAGGTTATTCGTGTAGGCACCTTTCTCCAGTGGACACTGCTCAACTAGGAGCCATTCCTTACCTCTGCTGTTTCCCTTAACAGTCCCTTACCCTATTCTTCTGCTGAGCAGTAAGGGAAGGAAGTAAGGATGGAAGGGCGAAAGAACATAATCAAAATATGGCTCAGCATTAGCAACAGACTGAGGATTTCAGCTGATAGGCTGAGAGCTGCAAGCAGCAGCTGCAGGAGTAATATGAATACTCATTCTCTGCATCCTGCCAATGACTTCAACCATCCCTGGATATCAACAGTAAGCTAACAGTTGTGCTAGTTTCTTCAAGGGCAGAATTATTTTATATTTTAACCCAAACTACAGGTGAAAGTTAAATTGGATCAAGATAGTACATAGACTACTGGAACCTCTCATATCTTCAGTAGGGAGACAGATGAGCAAGGAAACAGTACTGCAAAGCTATGTGCACCACACCGCTTGTAACTGCACATTACTAGGTCTAGTTTGCAGTCTGGCAACCTTGTTTACTGGAGTGAAAGTGGTACTGTGAGCCATTGCTGTTCGCCCTCAGGCCACCATCTGTCTTCACCTTTTCATATAAACAGACCTCTGACATTTCCAGGTAAAGAACTGTGCATCTCTCCTGTGAAATACTCAAGGATAGAATCATACCCTTTGACTGGCTTTTTCCTGGGTATGGCATTACATAATGAAGTCCAAGGATGTGGGGTTGTTGGTTGTAGCCGTGTTGATCTAAGGACACAGGCAGGCAAGGTTCATTGGGTTGGTGTGATATCTTTTATTAGACCAACTGAATAGTTGGGAAAAAGTTCTTTACAAACTTTTGGGCACAAACACCCTTCTTTAGGCATTGGAAGACTCTGCTCTTGTTTTGAGATCTCCAAGGTAGGGTCTCCCAATGCCTGAAGAAGGGTGCTTGTGCCTGACAGCTGCAAAGAACTTTTTCCCAACTACTCAGTCCAAGGATGCGTTTTTCTTTCCTGGTTATCACCAGGATGTTTCTCAGCACATGCTGATCAACTAGGAACTATTCCTCACCTCTGTTTTCCTTTTAATGCTTTGGCCTCGTCCAAAAAATCATTCTTGCCGGCTTACAAAAACAGCTGGAACAGCAACATCACTCCATTTTAAGATCTGAATTGTGTTAGCTGTTACATTGGTTCCACATGCTCCTAGGGTGGAGACGGCAGTTAAATTCCCAGCACAGCCAGTCAGGCCAGGAACTGCAACCCTGTGGTAAGTGGCAGTGACTTTCTAATTCTTGATTACATTATGAGAGAGAAGATTGTTCCCAGAGCAATTTATCAAGAGGAAAAAATGGAAATCAGAGTTCCAGGATGACCTTACATCCCAGTGATCTATTTGGCTGGAGTCAGTTATTACTCAGCTTCTCCGTCACAGAGGCTGTAGTAGTCTCATGCTTTGTCATCACTACTAAGTGGGCAGACTCCTGAGCTCAGTGCATATGCATCTGGGTGACAGGAGAAGGATTTATGAACGAGAGAGCAGAACAAAATGTACCAAACGGTTACCTGAGACCAGCATTGGTCCTGTTCGTATAACTTAACTTACTGACTCTGGAATTTCCTTTCTAGACTGAAAGTTGTTTTTGAGCCAGTGATGCTGGGATACATTAAAAACAACAAAAAGAAGGACTTTGGGGCAACACAACCTCAGAGTAGGGTATGAGTGTTGTTGAGGACCTCTACAGAGAGGCAACACAGTAATTCTGTCTTGTTTCAAGTACACAGAGCTTGAAAAGTTTTTTTTTCCTAGAAATGTGTAATGGGGCTGTCGGAAAGCAGACCACTCCCCTTCCTAGTAGTTT